ACTATTCTTGCCCCCCCCATCTATTTTCTATCTACTGTCTATGCTATTTATTTTCTGTACCTTCTCCCCCCTTCTCCTCTTCCCACTCCCCTGTTGCTAACCCTCCTTGAGATCTTCATTTCTATGTTTCCACTCCTGATCTAGCTGTCCTTTTAGTTTGCTTTTGTTTTAGGTGTGGTTGTTAATAACTGTGAGTTTGCTGTCCTTTCACTGTTCATGTTTTTTTAACTTCTTTTTCTTAGATAAGTCCCTTTAACATTTCATATAATAAGGGCTTGGTGATGATGAACTCCTTGAATTGGATATTATCTGAGAAGCACTTTATCTCTCCTTCCATTCTAAATGAAAGTTTTGCTGGATAGAGCAATCTTGGTTGTAGGTCTTTGGATTTCATGACTTGGAATACCTCTTTCCAGCCCCTTCTTGCCTGTAAGGTCTCTTTTGAGAAATCTGCTGACAGTCTGATGGGAACTCCTTTGTAGGTGACTGTCCCCTTATCTCTTGATGCTTCTAGGATTCTCTCCTTCATTTTAATCTTGGCTAATGTAATTATGATGTGCCTTGGTGTGTTTCTTCTTGGGTCCAACTTCTTTGGGACTCTCTGAGCTTCCTGGATTTCCTGGAAGTCTATTGCCTTTGTCAGATTGGGGAAATTCTCCTTTATTATTTGTTCAAATAAGTTTTCCACTGGTGGCTGTTCCTTTCCCCCTTCTGGTACCCCTATAATTCGGATGTTGGAGTGTTTAAAGATGTCCTGGAGGTTCCTAAGACTCTCCTCATTTTTTTGAATTCTTGCTTCTTCACTCTTTTCTGTTTGGCCATTATTTGCTTTCTTCTGGTCCACTCCATTGATTTGAGTCCCAGTTTCCTTTTCATGGCTATTGGTTTCCTGTGCAATTCCATTCATTTCAATTAGTTTCGCCTTCATATGTTTGTCTAATTTGTGGCTATAATCAACCAGTTCTGTGAGGATCCTGATCACCAGTGTTTTAAACTGTGCATGAGAGTTTTGCTATTTCTTCATCACTTAGATTTATAGGCTCTGGGGCTTTGAGATCTTCTTGAGCTATTTTTGGTCTGTTCGCGCCCGTTAAGTACAAGGAGCAGAGCTTTGGACTCCCAGGTCGCTGGGTTGTGACACTGTATGTGGGGGCATGGTCAGAGCGGGGAAATGACGTTCCCCTCTGCTGTTTCTTGCAGCTGGGTGAAGAGCAGAGCCTTAGGTTGTTCACCGGGGCAGGGCCACTTAGGTCACTGGATTATGTCGCTGTATGTGGAGGTGGGGTCAGAGCGGGGAAATGGCAGTGCCCTCTGCTGCTGCTCACCGCTGGGGCTGCTGGCTCCTATCGCCCACTCCCTCACTTGTCTATCCACACACGAATGCGCAACCACAGTCAACCCACAGCCCTGCTCCCTCACTGTTTCCCCGCGGTGGCTCGCTGAGTTGCCCACCAGGTCCAACCCTGCGCCTGGATTCCGCGCACCTGAGTCCATCTGACCAAGTTTTCCTGTGCAACCCCACTCTGCCAGCTGCTGGTTTCGCCCCTCTTACCAGTGAGGCTGAAGTATTTGTTGTTATCAGACTTCTGAAAAGTTCAATTTTCTGTGTTCTGGCTGTGTTTTCTGTTGCTAATATTTAGTTGTTTCTAAACTTGGTTGTGTGAGAAAGCACGGTGTCTCCACCTATGCCTCCATCTTGGTGGAAGTCCTGATATCTTGACAATAAGTACAGAATAGATTGTTTTTTTTTCTCATGACTATAATTGATTTAGAGAAAAAGGGGAAAGATAAGGGCTAGGTAAAAATCTGGGTTAAAAAATAACACTGCGACCACAGGTCCCAGTCATGCACATGATCACAAGAATAAGCAACCAACACCTTATAGTTTATTGCATTGCCAGAGTTTTTGGATATTGTGTTCTAAGCACATTTAAGATAGGCCGGGCTAAGCTATGATGTTTTGTTAGGTTTGGTGTATTAAATGCATTTTTTTTAACTTACAATACTTTCAACTTATGATGGTTTTACAAGACATAACCCCATTGTAAATCAAGGGGCATCTGTATCACCAGTAGAGGGTGGTGGTGGTAGTGGATGATTATATTGGTAACTCAGTATTTTCTGCCCAACACAGTTTTAAAACCCTTATTCTGAGAGGTTTTTAGAATTCATGAAGGCTATAATCAAAACCTATAGCAACAGATGTTCACTTCGTAGCAGTAGTATGCTCACTACTTGCAAAGCAACTATTCTATTTGTCAAAATTCCAAGGCATAAGATTTTGTACCCTTGGATCTTAAGCACATTCTGCACTCTGGAGCTATATCCAAAAAAGGCTAAATAATTTTCCATAAGATTACCTCTCAAATACTTGAAAATGACTGTATCTATCATGTTTTTACAAAGTCTTCTTTTGTGTTGTTTAAAAATATCCAGGGCTTCCACAGTCTTTCCTACACTGGCCAGAATATAGTCTGTAAAAATTTCACATAAGTTTCAGTATTCAGACAAATCATAACATTACAAACTTTCTGCAAACTACTTAGAATTGAATTGGTTTATTATACTTTTAGGAAGACTGTATCTGTGAATTGGGGGTGGGTGAGGAGAGTAGGGTGAACATACTACATTACTGGCTAATTCATGATTTTCTTTCAACTAAAATTTCTAGATCTTCATTATATAAAGCATGACTAAGATATAGCTTTGCATTTTAAACTTAAAGGCAAAGCTATAGGTTTATTTCTGTGAAATAACCTTTTATTTTAGTTTCTTATTCTGAAAAGATTGTTTAAATATTTTAGAATCCTGATTCATCATCCAATAATATCAGCTACATTTCTGAAATACTTCATTTATATAATTCTGAAACATACCTCACATATGAAGATTAAATAATAGATTAAAATACTTGAAGCATAGGTTTAGGCGGCAATGACCTCTGGCATCTCTTCACTTCGACATTAACAGTCTCTGGATATATTAATAGTTAATCACTTATGAAACCACTTCAGTTTACTCCTTTCATCTGTATTTTTGTACTTCACTAAAAAGATATGATGGAAACATACCAAATAACTTGTAAAACTGCATTTATGACACAGTTTTTGCTTATTACAATAACAAAGTCACCTTGTTATGACTTAAACATGGTGAATTGGCTGTAAGTCAGTAAAAGTTATCTTTCTAGCTGTTCACAAACCAGATGTTCTACGAATTTCTAATAAACCACCAAGGTGACTGATCCTCTTTTCAGATCTCTAACCATTACTAAATATAATAACTGTAGTTGCCAGCCCTAAAGCCTTTAGTATCTCTTATTTTCTAATACCCTTCAAGGGCAATGATAATAATTTCTGATCAGTTTGCAAATTATTTAATATCCAGGAATATGTACTTTGCTTTAAAATTGGGAATTTAACCAGGGCTCTGTTACTTTCACCTATTTTGTTCATCTCCGCTTTATATATCTGTTTTAAAGTTTATTCCAAAGGAGAATGTCTGCTTAGTGAGGAAAAACTGGGAACGAAACTGCAGTAGGAATCTGCTTTCTCTTTGTTATATCTTAGCCCCAAATTATGGGTCTATCTTTTCCTTGGGGAAAAAACCCCAAAATTCTTTTTGTTACACTTAATTTCCAAAAGCTTCAGTTTCATTCCGGCCATTTTCCTTTGCCCACTTTTTCATTCTAAACTAACATTTTATATTTTTATACATATCTATCTAGAGGTCTCAATTTTTGGAAAACAATGCAAAAAGACTAATAATTCACGATTCCGATGTATATGGCTATAGCTTATGCTTCATGCAAATATAATACTTATTATCTATCCTTATAACAAAATCACATTGCATTGATAACTCAGTTTAGCTTAATTGCTAACATTACCCCCAATTCTGCTTTTTCTATTTTTATACTTCAATATTATTGACATTTCATAAGAAGGCAGATAAAAATATTTGAGTCCCTATCTTTTTAATATTCTTTACTACTTTCCTATTCATTATTCTTAACTGTATTCAATAACGTAATAGAAAATAATTCATTGATGCTGTTTTTATCAGTTGTCAATTTTTCTTTTTTGTTTCTAGTTTTCTGATTTTTGTACACAGATGATGCTGTTCCTTAATTTTACTGAATAAAAGTAATGTCCACTTTGAAGCCATTATGTCTGCTTCCCAATCTGTACAGAGTTGTAGGTTTAACACAACTTTTTTCTGCCTACCCAGTTATAATCCAACTCCTACTTAAAAACAGAAAACTGAGAAAATACCTTTTCAAAGATTTACAGATGACTTTTCTTTTTAGCACTCATATTCTTGATTAAGATCACACTATTCTGAATTTGCCAATGGAAAATGACATCTGCATAGCAAATGCTACCCGAAAATAGCTGTGCAATAAGGTACTTGTTCAGTACCTAAGTTAAATCAAATTTTTATGAGTTCATTCTTTCTCATTTTAACAACTCAACTGTTGAAAAAAATGTAGGCATATACCTTAACCCATAATTTAATGTCTTAATGTAGAAAGTTAACGCTACAGTATTTCATAAGACATAAGTCACATTGTCAAAGCTTTAAATGAGATTATTATGTATATTTTACCTTGGGTACTTCATTTGCAGCATTAACAAAAACTAGCTGAAGTTATGATTTAAAAATTATCCATGGAATAATACCTATCATGAAACAGATTTCTAAAACCTGAGAAGCAGGACTTATGTACATTGCTTATTTTCTATGACCAAGAACATAATGAAAGAAATGAAAATATTACCTATTTAATGAAACTATGTAGACAGAAAAAAATGTCAGGAGGAGGAGTCTTTAGGCCACAGTAAGACCACTAAGTTTTACAGAACATAAATTGGATTAAGAATTTAATTAAAGCAGAAAACAAAAGTATTTATAACAAGAGCACAGAAGTTGTGCTTTTAAAAAAGGTTTAAAGGAAAGGGGATGAGAAAGGTGAGAGAAAGTACTACCGGACTCCTTACCCATTGCTGTTGGTGCTGGAGCTTCCTGATGGTATTCTCAGCCTGCTCCAGTTTAGCACTGGCCTCATCACTCTGCTGTTTGATGGTGGCCAGTTCCCGTTTTATGAGGTAGTTTTCCTCAGCCTCCTGGGCTCTTGTCACTTGTCCCTTAGGACATAATTTTTGTGTGTGTAAAGCAACTTAGGATAGAGTCAAGAAAGACTGCCTTTGTGAGGTTTAGTTATTTGCTTTGACATATATTTAAAAAATCACCTTGGAGAACAGAACAGCCTAAGCAATTGTTAGCCAGCAGCTCATTATTGCTCCAGCAAATTTTGGGGAACTAAATGAAAAATTCATCAGACAATCTTAAGAACGATTCTTCTTTTAGTCAATAAAAATTCAATTCATGCAATATTGTTGAACTGTACATGCAAAATTAAAATTTCAATAAGTAGTTAATTTCACAGAATCCACTGATTGTCATTTTGTAATACTTTAAAATAAGGTTAGCTTTATAACGTGCAAAAGGTGCTTGCTTATTTAAATAACCAAAATAACACACTTATAAAAAATAAGTTTATACCCATATATACCACCCAAAAAATATTTCTGGGAGAATGCATGTAAAATTGCATGCATTAGAATACAAATTTCTACATTTAAGACTTCCTTAGATGTTAGAGAAAATGCTAAAAAAAAAACCCCAAAAAACTATACCTGTATCAATCTATCTGCCAAGGAAGCACTTTCCTATAAAAGGAAAAATTCAGATAGGAATGTAAGAGAAAGAAATAAAATAAAGATGATAAAATTAGGAATAAAAAGAAACAAAGCATACCCAAATTCCACCTACTTTTCATGTAATTAAAATAGACATGTAGATTTTAAAACTATTTTTACTAAATGTGTTTTTGTTCTTAAACCTTAAAAATATATATATTAAAATAAGGCTAGTCTATAGCAAAGCATGTGCTTCTAGGAAAGACTAAACATAAATTCCAGGAGGTTTTTCATTACTTGGGACAAGTAAATATCTTCTTTTTTAAGAATAGTTTTAAATCTTTATTTTTAGAGTCAGCCATATGCTCTAACCACTTACTGGTATATGAAAGGGAGAAGGAATTTGAGTAAGCAATTCCACTTTCAAAGTGTGACAGTATTTTGTGCAACCCCAACTTCCAAAGACACAAAGCAAGAAAAACATTACAAATGAAATTAATAAGCTCAAAGTCATAATCTCTAGCAATAACTAAGTACACTTTTCATTGAAGATTTAATGGACACACATGTATTTACAGAGTTCTAAGTGCTAAAGGACACAGGTGGGCCGTCTAAGCCAGTAAAAAAGGTACTTAGTTTTTAGAATCAAGATCCGAGCTTAACTTTCCTAACAGTACTCTTCTCATTCTGAAAGTTCAATGAGATACAAATGCTTTCTCTATGAAAACATCTCATTCCAAAGATAAAAGACCACTTAAGAATATGTATACTTTAATATAACTGACTATTTAGTTTTAAAAAAGTCTATAATTAAAACAACTTAAAAACAACTAGGTTGAACCTTTATGCATAGCCACCAAGAAAGTAAAATTATCATTTAAGCAACTTTAATAATATGAAGTAAATACAAGAAAACTATTTTGGACTTAATATAATATCTGTAATTATTATACAACAAAAATAGACATGTAGGAAGTAAGCATCCTGGTCCTTGTGCAGAACTATTTAACATAAAACCATCAATACTTTTAAACAAAAGACAACTATTTTTTATTTATTGCTTTCTTAAATGTTGAATCTACAGATTTTCAGGGAAGATTTTAAGATACTTGACAATATCATAAAGAGTACTTTTAAACCTACTTTCTCTCAAAAACCAAGAGACTTTGTGAATTCAGATGTTTTTCTTAAAATAAACAAAAACTCTTACACTATACTTTTATTACTCAATATATTCTTATAGCATGAAAAACAAGACTGCTTATATCAAAAGCATACTATAAAAAAGGGTGCAATATTTCCACATTTGCACAGTTGTTTTATAGGAAACAAAGAGGAAGAGGTAACAAGTGGTAGCAAAATAATTTTAAGAACCAATAGCTGAAGCAAAATTCCACTGTGTTGAAAGTCATGTTGGATTTTTTAAAAGATTTTATTTATTTTTAGAGAGGGGGAAGGGAGGGAGAAAGAGAGGAAGAGAAACATCGATAGGTCGCCTCTAGCACGCCCTCATCTGGGGATCCAGCCACAACCCAGGCATGTGCCCTGACTGGGAATCAGACTGGCAGCCTTTAGGTTCAAAGGCCAGCGTTCAATCCACTGAGCCACACCAGCCAGGGCTCATGTTGAATTTTCATGTAAGAAATTAGTCAGTCACTTTGCTTAAACTAAAGCAATCCTAGCTAGGCCTTACACGAATCACTGCCACATTTAATATGGCTAGAAAGGGCAATATTTGAAACTCATCTTTAAAATACTATACAGAGTAGATTCTCAAGTAAGTTACCTCTAAAGAATATATATTTTAGAGATTATATGTAAGGAAAACAAATGTTACTATAATAATAGCCTTAGTTAAAACTTCATAGTTCAAGAACTAGTAGTGATCAATTATTACTGATTACAAGTTAAGTAGTAAGAGAAGCAGTCAATACCAGAACTTCAGAAACATATATACTATTAGATTTCTTGAGCCTTTATATAAAATAGAAAAAAAAATACCATGTATTCAACAGAAGCTTCCATAAGTAGTCATTTACTTACCTTTTCTAATGTTTCAATGCGCTGTTTTAAAAGTCTATTTTCTGTGCGTAACCTCTGGAGAAAAAAATAAAAAACAAACATACAAACAACAACAAATAAAGGTTTGTTTGCAAACATTCTTGAGAATAATGATACCTAAATTGTAACCGTTAAAAATGTACCACCTTTTATAAATAAGAAGGGAGTCTAAGGAATGATTCTATTATTGTTTGTCAAATTCTTAATGCTCAGAGCAAGAAATACATACCTAAGAAATGATCACATGTATTATTCCAGCTGTGAGTGAATTTTAAATATATGCTACAGTACACTCAGAAATAACCCCTTTCTTCTCTGTACCTATCTTAATGGCTCTCAATATTCCCATTAGATAGAAAAGCGTACAATTCATTTAAGTCCCACAAAGCCTATCTACATAAACTGTATGTTTAAATGTCTATCAAATAAATAAGAAATTTGAAAAATGCATGCTCATAGGACAAATATCAAATTGTCAGTTTTGAATTAGACCAGTCTTCACTCATAATGCATTACATCTGCCAAGTTGCAAAATTCCTTACATTCTGCAAATACAAAGAATGAGTTGTTTTCATTGAATAAATTGTTTCTCATGTGTTGTGAGAAAGTCTATTAGTGGCATTTTTCTTTCTCATCACAAAAGCTCCTATTAGTGGCATTTTTCTCACAGTTCAAAAATAAAACCAAATTTTAAAAAAATCTTCATCTTATTTTTCGATGCCTGGCTCCTAAAACCCTGTCAAATTGCTGCCATCAAGTATTAAATCTAAAACACTCAACATTTTAAAAATCTTTTATGCATATGTCACCAATATAATTTCATACTGGCCTCCTATATAAATTACTCCTTCATTTTAGTATCTGCTGAATGTTACTCCTCTGTTTTGTCATCATTTATTTCAAAACTCCCCTTACCTTTTTGTACCCATCTCCTCCACAATTCTCAATGCAGCCTTCTTTCAACCCTACTTTTCCTCTAAGTTCCTGCTAAAAATGCCTTCCTCTTTGATAGAAGAATTGATAAAATTCTTCTATCAATTCAATGTAATATTTTGCCAGTAAATACTAAAATATAACAAAGTTTCAAACCAAGAAAATAAAAGACTGTGAATTACTGTATCTTATTGGATACAATAAGTGGAACACAAATTAAAATAAATAAATCTTAAGAGTTACTACAAAGTACTATGCAAATTAAATTTTCTTGTTCTATTCACTAAAATATATTTAGATTATCTGAAATGTGTGATCTCAGACTGCAAAATAGCATGGCGGTCTACACAAGTAAGCGATAATTAAATTTTGTTATAGTCTATAAATCCAAAGCAACAAATGTAATTCTCAAAATGTTCTCAATATATTACATCAAAATAAACTTGTAACTTTTTGTTTACCCTAAAACATTTAGAAAGTTAAGTTCAACCAGACAATTGAGTCTATAAAATTAATGTTACAACAGAAATAATGTTAAAACAATAAAATTTTTAAAATTCACCTGGATTTCCTTCCCATTCCCTTTTAGTCATCTAAAATTCTGCTACAAATAACAATCTAAATTGACTTTTCCTCAAACATCCACCCCAATGTCTTAATACCATTTTTTAAATAAAACACCAATTCCTCATTTGTGTGATATCCACTTCATCATGAACTGATAACTATAATAGACTTTATCAGTTTAAGTCAAGACTATTTCAGGATTACCTATTAAATTGCAAATGTTTGGGGGTTTTTTTGGACTAGTATCATGGTATTTCAGTAATTATGCCGCTTTGTAATACCTTTAATATCCCGTAAAGCTAATTTCCCCTACTGTTATATTTATCCTCCCCAAGTTTTACCTATTAGTGCACTAAATTAGTAAAGAGACTAGACAGGTTTTGAAGTTAGGCAGATATAGTTTCAAATCCTCATTCTTCAATTAACATCTGTGCATGTCATTCAATGCCTTAGATCTCCATTTCCTCATTTAGAAAATTAGAGCAGTAACACCTACAATGATACCAGAAGAATTACGGGAGATATAGCACAGTGCTTAATGTATACCAAACACTTGATTAGTGATAAGCATTGCTCATATTTTTAAAGTTAGGCATGAATATTAATTTTATTACTTTTGTCTATTTTACAATTATTCTTTAGATTTTTAAAATTTCTCTGGAATATTGCAAGGACTTGAATTTGACTGGGTTTGTTAATGTGTATTTTGTGGGAAAATTCATGTGTTTATATAAGATAAAGTTGTTTTTGTCTTTACCTTTTATTCATCTTTTAAAAAATGCCTATATGCAAAGTTTTGCTTCCTATTTTTCATTTTGGTTATTCCTAGATATGCTTTTATTTTTACTTTCAATGAAACATCTTCAAAGATATTTTTGGAATATTTATTGTCTTTATACATAGGAAAGGTAATGACTAAAATGTATCACTTGCGTGATTTCTCACAAATTTTTGAGCATCCTTGTTTTTAATCACAGTTTTTGGAACTAATTAAAAGACTATTTTCTAAACTTTAAAGTGAAAACCACAAAGAGAAATACGAATAGGCATGTACGACTAAAAAAAGAAAAGACTTTTGACTAGCAAATTAGAAAAGAAAAATTGAGACTAAAAACGAGAGCAAGAATGAAATACCTAATGTTAGCAAAGTATGTGAAAGAGAAACTCAATGCTAAGAAGGATATACTCTGGGAATATTCTTTAGGAAATTCACTTAGTACATACCAAACATCTTAAAAATACGAATGTCCCACAGTTCAAAAGTTCTACTTGTTACAACTGGCTATAGAAATTGAAGGTGCCGAAAAATTGCATATACAAGATGCTAAGTATAAGCACATTTTTAGTAATGAAAAAAGTGAGAAACAAACATCCCAAAATAGGAAAATTTTGTTTTCAAACAACCTACTCTTCAATCACCATCTCCTATTCTTTTCGAATTACTTATTTTATGACATAACCCAAGTTCAACAATTCTCATACGGACAATCTAGTGATCTTACCAGCTTTTCAATGTTCCTCACTCCCTCTCTTCTCTCTTTACAAAGCTCAATTCCCAATCATATACTTTCCCTTGCTTTTATCCCCCCACCCCACCTCCTTCTTAGTAGTTAGTATACTTTCATGATGAAACCACGACTCTGGGTCAACATACTGACAACTCTGTGTCTGCATCTATACTGGTAAATATGGCTAAAGAAAAATATAACCATGATGCTTATTTAAATTAGCCAATCACTCAGTTCATTTGGCCTCTTAATGCACCTTAGCAATACGTATGCACTTACTTAGTCCATTCCTTCTCCCCCTCTCTTAGATCACTATTTTATACCTACTCCTCTTTCTTGGAACCAGCAATTCTCTCACCCACTATCAGATGACAATCTTGCTTAGTATTTATTTCACTGAAAACATTAAAGCAGTCAGAAGAGAACTTCACAAGTTCTCTTCACAAGATCCCATAACCACATCCTACATTTTACCTGCGTTTTTGCCCAGAGTCCAGCACAAAAAAAATGCCCTTTTTATTAGAAAATCTTTTATTACAAAATCATAAGCATGTGATTTTGTAACATAACAATATCACACTCAAGCAAACCATATGACATTTTAGATGAAATGTTCAAATTACAAATATAAATTATTATACCCATATTATTACCCTATCAACCACACTCAAGCAGGCAGTACTTCTGCTGGACCCTGTATTTTACTTTTTCTCCTGTCATTACAGATTAACTATCTATGTTATTAGACCAAGACTCTCACCCATGCACTAAGTGCTATACCCTCCTGACTCCAGCAATTATCCCGTTGTTCATACATTATCAATTTTTTCCTACTTATCACCATAATAATATGCTTATTAAAAAACACATGTGTTGCCCTGGCCGGATGGCTCAGTTAGTTGGAGTGTCTTCCCATATACCCAAAAGGTTGAAGGTTCAATTCCCAGTCAGGGTACATCCTAGGTTGCAGCTTCAATCCCCTGTGGGGGCATATATAGGAAGTAACCAATCTATGTTTCTCTCTTAAATCTATGTCTGTCTGTCTGTCTGTCTTTCTCTCGAATCAATAAACATATCCTTGGGTAAGGGTTAAAAAAAAACAGCCCTGGCCAGTGTGGCTCAATTGGTTGGGAGTCATCCTGCAGACTGAAAGGTTGTAGGTTCTATTCCCCATCAGGGCATATGCCTAGTCACGGTTCAGTCCCTAGTCGGGGTGTGTGCAGGAGGCAACTGATTGATGTTTCTCTCCCTCTATTTCTCCCTCCCTTCCCTTCTCCCTAAAAACCAATCAATCAATCAATCAATCAATACCAAAAACCAAAAAACATCCATGCGTTTATTTACATCTTTAAAAAAAGAAAACAAAAAATTTGACCTACTAGCTTCTACTCTTTCCCTTGGCTTCTAGGACACTATACCTCCCTGTTGTTCTGCTTTGCTGCTTTATCTTTATCTCCCTAACTTTTAAATGTTGGCTTACTCTAAGGCTCAATTCTCAAACTCTCTTCTCCATTTTATCTGCTGAAGAATTTCTGGCCTTACAGGGGGTATAAGTAAAAGTTTAAGGTACATATAGGAATTTATATGCCCTTTAAATTGAAAATCTACCTATTTCTCTGAAGAGTAGTGAAAAACTGTAACCTTTGCTTAGTGATTAATGAGATTCCCCAGGTAATCTCATCCACAATCCTGGCTTTGTATCATCACTGTGTCAATAACTGCCAGATTTATATTTACAATTGAGCCTCCTTCTTTTAACTCAAACTCCAAATATTCAGCAGCTACCCAAACATCTCCTAGGCATTATATGCTTAAAAAATATGCAAAATTAGGTGCTGGCATTCCTCCCTAAACCAGATTCTCCTGTATTTGTCACCATCTCAGGTAATGGAAATTCCATTTTTCTAATTGCTCAGAACAAAATGCTTAATCAGGGAGGTGACCAACAGATACAATTCTTAAAATAAAAAGGTCACCAACTCAAAGGTCTTAGAATTTTAATTAGATTAAAAACAGTGGAAACTTTAAACACATTGTATAATATCAAAGGCTGATTCTTTTTACTGCTGTATCAAAACATCAAATAATTTGATGATCATGCTATGTGCTTGTATAAAGAACAGTAAAAGACTCTGTTCCTGAAGGTTTTTGAGGAGAACCAAGGCAAGAAAGTATTAGTTAACAAAACTCATTCCCTCATAAAAAGGACCTTGATGGGAAGGAAAAACAGTGAGTAAGAAAGTAGCATATCCCATTTTAGACAAAGGCTCAAAAAACACATGCTAATTAATTTTAAGTAAGGCAATCATTTGATCATAATTGATCCCATAAACAAGGTGGTCATCTGAGTATGACTGAGATTGAGTTGTGAGGCCCAAGTAAAAACCCAGACAGATCCAAAATTAAAGTGAGAAAAAGTACAGTAGCACAAAAATTGTGTGGCTTTGTCTTTTGTTTGTGGCCAGGTAGGGAAGGAAACAGGAGGAGTCAAAAAACAGAGAGATGGATATGGTACAAGAGTAAAAAAGAACTATGGGCAAACCAGATACTATAAAAGAAACAGACTACCTTTGAGGTCAGCATACTTTATTTACCTGATATGTTTCACTAATATTTTTAACTTTCTTTTTTCTCCATAAATAACTATGCCATCTGTTTTTTGCCTAACACACATGGAGCTGGCAAGCAAAAATATTTTGTAAGTTAACTGAACTAAAACTTCTCCCCACCAAAACATTTTTTTAAAAAAAAGTTGCAAATATAGGCTAAAATCTGCTAAAGACCTTTTCAAAAAAGCTTTCTGTTATTACTACATTCATGTTACTTAATTTTATTTTTAAAAAAACTCTTCAAAAGCAAGAATTATTCATAGACCTGAGGTTTTTTGTTTTTTGGGTTTTTTTCCAATAATATCGCGTGGTGAAATGAAAAGGATGGCTTCCCCATCCTCAGATTCTTGATTTGCAGTTCCGAATATTCCTGGTATGCGATAACCCATACTCTCTCCCCACTCATCAGGATGACGTACTTTTTATTGTCAGTAGGCTGAAGTAGAGGGTATGATTTATGACCCCCTTACTCATGGTACCTAAAAGAAAAGCAAATGGTAGAGCAGCAGTTGGGTGACAGAATTTAAAAAAGGAGGAAAAATATCCACAGGGGTCTTTATCTTTCCTTCCTTCCTTCCTTTTTCTTTTCTTTCTTTCCTTTCTCTCTCTCTGAAAACGTAGAAGTATTTATTTCCAATGATGGAAATGGAGGACAAAATGAAAATTAAACATCTAGAGAAGGAGACAGAGTTAATGACAGGTCACACAGAAAAATGGGAGATGAGACAGACACACACACACAGTTAAAAAAAAGTAGAGTCCTTCAAAAAAATATTGTTTTGTTTCTTTTTTGAGGGGAATAGATTAACAAATGAGAAATTGGATCAGCCAGTCCCTGAGTTCCTTCACTAACTCATGGTCCTAGCTCATCATCCCCGTCCTAAAATATCAGCATAAAAGTCAATAAAACTTTCCTTAACTCCCAACTCAAACGATGCCAAAGATCCTCAACTCAAGAATTTCTGGCCTTACAGGGAGGAACAAATAAGAATTTTAAGGTATAGGAATTTGAAGGTCCTTTATTGAAAATCTGTTTCTCTGGAGAGTAGTTCAAAAGTATAACCCTTGCTTAGTGATGAAATAATTGAATTAGCCAAAGCTTCCTGCATCTCTAAAGCAGCCATAATTAGTTCTACTGCAATCATTTGCTCTATTTGGTCTACCTTAGACTATACTGCGTTAGTCTCAGCATGCTATACATTATCTTTTCCACAACGTTTAAAAATATGCTTAAGTGGAATAATTATCTTCCCCACAGAAGTATTTTCTCCTGATGATCCACCAACATATCCAGAAAAAGAGAAGAGCTGCTCTCTTTTATATTAGCATGAAAACCACTCTGGTCACATTTCTGGTTTTTAAAATATCTATTTTTACCTATAATTAGTGGGAGGGCAAGTAAATTTATCCTTAAATAAGTACAAACATCATTGCTAAATGTGCTACAAATAGGTAACAAATATACCAATATAACCTAATATCAATTGCCAAATAACTGGCTTCAATCAATTTATATTCAGCACTTTTAAGTGCTGCGATGCTTACTTTAATTTCAACTTGCTCTTCCATCTCTTTAGTTTTTATTGTAGTGTATTCCTTTTCAAGCCTAAGAAGAAAAAAAGAATAAAGGTGTATTTTCATTCAAAAGTAGTTATAAAATTATAAAACTTAAAACTATATGTTAACACAAAATACAATTTCACTGTTATCCCAACTTATAACTTGAGATATTTGATATAAGAAAAATCATTCAAAAGTTACATGAATTATTACCAAAAATTACTTTACAAATAACAAAAGTAAACTTTAGAACAGAGATTTTGAAATCTAATGACACACATAAATTACTCAAATTCTGTGATACACCAAAATATATATTTTTTGCTGATCTGACAAAAATCGGTATAATTTTGATTGACTTACAAAAGAATAACAGTAGTAATTACCTACACGTTTTGCTCCAATGTGCTCCAATTTGCTCTGATTTTTTTTTAAATCAGGTGCCTATACTTATATATAAGGATTCCTACCACCAAAACTTAACCTGTTAGACACCACCTTATTATGCAACATGACCAATAAGATGCACCTCTATTATATGACCTATATATTTACGGTTCAAGACCAAGCGTTCACGCAACATGGCTATCAGTGTGTTGGCAGCTGCCATGTTTTCATCTGATAATCTAAGAGAAAAGAAGTCAGTACCCCTGACTAAACAGTCAGGTATTATATATTTTACAAATTCTTGTGTCAGGCCCTGGCTGGTATGGCTCAGTGGATTGAGTGCTGGCCTATGAACCAAAGGGTGGCAGGTTCAATTCCCAGTCAGGGCACATGCCTGGGTTATGGGCCATGTCCCCAATATGGGGCATGTGAGAGGCAACCACACATCGATGTTTCTCTCCCTCTCTTTGTCCTTCCCTTCCCCTCTCTCTAAAAATAAATAAAACTTAAAAAACATTCTTGTAGCACCCTTGCCAGTGTGGCTCAATGGATTAAGCACCTGCCTGCAAACGGAAAGGTTGCCAGTTTAATTCTCTGTCAGGACACGTGCTTGGGTTGAACAACTAGAAAACTAAAGTGTATGGAAGTTCAACGACCAAGGAGTTTAAGAAACATTCATCAGATGGGCAGATGGGAAGGAGAAGATAACATAGCAAGGCAGACCAGGCAGTCCCACATTTTCGTGCAGAGAAACTGAGAACAACTGGGGAGCAAGACAGACCATGCAACCCAGGGTTCCACCATGGGAAAAGAAAGTCTCAAAACCTTTGATTGTAAAAACCTGTGGGGGTGGTAGTAGGAGAAACTCCCAGCCTCACAGGAGAGTTCCTTGGAGAGACTCACAGAGTCCTAGAACTTACACAAAACCACCCACCTGGGAATCAGCACCAGAAAAGCCAAATTTGCTTGTGGGTAGCGGAGGAAGTGAAGGAAGGCAGGGCAAGAGCCAAGCAAGTGGCACTGTTCCCTCTCTGACCCCTCCCCCACATACAGTGTCACAATGCAGCAAAGTGGGTGGGCCTGCCCTGGCCAATACCTAAGGTTCCACCCCTTACAATGTAACATGTGCGTGGAGACAAAGAAATATGGCCCAAATGAAAGAACAGATTGAAACTCCAAAAATAGAAGTAAACGATGAAGAGATAGCCAACCTATCAGATGCAGAGTTCAAAACACTGGTGATCAGGATGCTCACAGAAATGGTTGAGTATGGTCTCAAAATGGAGGAAAAGGTGAAGGCTATGCAAAGTGAAATGAAGACAAATGTACAGGGAACCAACAGTGAAGGGAAGGAAACCGGGACTCAAATCAATGATTTAGAGAAGGAACAAATAAACATTCAACCAGAACAGAATGAAGAAACAAGAATTCAAAAAAATGAGGAGAGGCTTAGGAACCTGTGGGACAACTTTAAACATTCCAACATCGAAATCATAGGGGTGGCAGAAGGAGAAGAGGAAGAGCAAAAAATTGAAGTTATTTGAAAAAATAATGAAGAAGAACTTTCCCAATTTGGCCAAGGAAATAGACTTCCAGGAAGTCCAGGAAGCTCAGAGTCCCAAGAAACTGGACTCAAAGGAAGCATATACCATATGACTTCTCAAAAGAAACCTTGCAGGCAAGAAGGGGCTAGAAAGAAGTATTCAAAGTCATGAAAGGCAAGGAAAGATTACTCTACGTCCAAGATTGCTCTATTCAGCAAAGCTATCATTTAGAATGAAAGGGCAGATAAAGTGCTTCCCAGAAAAGGTCAAGTCCAAGGAGTTCATCATCACCAAGCCCTTATTATATGAAATGTTAAAGAGACTTATCTAAGAAAAAGATGATAAAAACTATGCACAGTTAAATGACAACAAACTCACAACTATCAACAACTGGACCTAAAACAAAAACAAAAACAAACTAAGCAAACAACTAGAACACTAACAGAACCACGGAAATGGAAATCACATAAAGGGTTATCAGCGGGGAGAGGGAGAGGGGAGAATGGAGGAAAGTTACAGGGAATAAGAAGCATAAATGGTAGGTACAAAATAGACAGGGGGAGGTTTAGAATAGTATAGGAAATGGAGAAGCCAAAGAACTTATATATATGACCCATGGGCATGAACTAAGGTGGGGGAATGCTGATGGGAGGTCAGGTACAGGGCATAGAGGAAACAGGGGAGGAGGAAAAGGGAGAACTGTAATAGCATAATCAGTAAGATATACTTTAACAAATAAATAAATAAATCGCTGCTTTAGAAAGTAAAATATATAAGGTACCAAACAGAGAACTAAGTTTACAGATTTTATTCAGCCCTAAACTGACAAAAGAACTACCCATACTATCCCCCTCAAATTAAAATACATCTGTAGGGTTCAAAAAAAAAAAAAAAAGAAAAGAAAAAGCTTAACAACAGAGATACATTCTGAGAAATGCACTGACACATTAGGCAATTCCACTGTTGTGCAAAAGCTCAGGAGCCATGCAGGCTGTCTCTGGAGCACGTCCATTCCTTTGCTGGGATGGACGAAATTTTTTTTCAAAGGTTTTTATTTATTTGTTTATTTTTAGAGAGGAGAAGGGAGGGGAAAAGAGGGAGAGAAACATCAATGTGTGGTTGCCTCTCACACACCCCCAACCTGGGATCTGGCCAGCAACCCAGGCATGTGCCCTACACTGGGAATCAAACCTGCAACTCTGGTTCTCAAGCTGGCACTTAATCCACTGAGCCACATCAGCCAGGGCTAGGACATGAACTTCTAAATTTCTTTCTCCTAAACACTAAGGGGCCAAATGAGACTTGCAACCAGGGGAACAGCAGGTAGCAGCAGCTCATCCTGGGCTTATCCCTTGAACCTGTCTCCAAGGCCCCTCTTTTCTCTAACTTCCCAGTGAACTAAAAGCAGCCCTATCTTGGCTCACTTCTCTCACTTCTTTCCTACAACATTTCTAGGGAGCCAAAGCAGAGCACTGCCTCAGCTCTCTCCCCTTACTTTTGCTACCCTAAGTTCTTCCTCAGTTTCACTGTACCCAGCTTTAATAAACGTACTCTCAGAAAAAAAAAAACACACGACAAACTTACAGCCATGAAGGACAAACACAAGATTAAGTCAAGCATAGGAGAAAATGATGCAATCAAGAGAAGCAGTAAACAAAAGATGCACGAGGCTGCTGCAGAGGTGTATGAGGCATGACATGGCATGCTGTTTTATGGCAAGCTTTTAAAAAAAAAATTAGTAGTAAGCATACATTCTGAAATAATAATTAAAAGAATAAAGCAAATATATGAACCAGTAACAGTCATTTATTATCATTATCAATTATTACGTATTGTACATAATTGTATGTGCTATACTTTTATAAGACTGGCAGCACAGTAGGTTTATTTACACAAACACATAGATGATACGCTGCACTATGAAATTTCCCTGGCTACATCAACGTGACTAGAATTTTTCAGTCCCATCATAATCTCATGGGACCACCTTCATATATTCTGTCCATTGTTGACCAAAAAACATCATTATGTGACACGTAACTGTACTAAAATTTACAAACATTTATAATGGGGCTAAAGAGACAGCTAGTCCTCACAGAATTCCAATTAATAAACATAGAGGAAATAAGGCAAGTATAAAAAGCCCCATCTGGGTAGCTCGGTTGGTTAGAGCATCATCCCAATACACCAAGGTTGTGGGTTTGGGGAAATACAAGAAGCAACCAATTAATGTATAAATAAATGAAACAAGAAATCAATGTTTCTCTCTCTCATCAGTAAATAAATACTTAAATAAAAACACCATTAGAACTTCACAATAGTAACTGCCAAGGGCAAGAAAAATCAATGGATTCTACAATTAGTGAATAAAAGTTTAAGCATAGTCTCAAAGTATCTCTTCCCAAATATTTAGCAATTGCAAAGGGAAAAATAGTAAGTTTATGGTACAGAATCCTAGCAGACAACATCTGGCCAAGTGACCAAGGCTAACATCACCAGTAATCACATAACATAGGATGCACTGAAAACAGCTCCTCGCTTCAGCAGTATCCTTCCCCAGGAACGCAGATGCTCAATGTAATCAAAAGAAATCATCAAACACACCCAAATTTAAAGACATTCTACACAATAACTAATCATCTTGTTTCAGAAGTATCAAGGTCACAAAAGCCCAGAAAAGACTGAAGCACTGTCACTGACTGCAGGGAAATAAGAAATGACAAATACATCGCGCTGCATGTGGGAGAGGGGACCGAGAAGGAGCAATGCTGCTTGCTCAGCTCTCGGCTGGCTTTTGGGGACAACTGTAATAGCATAATCAATAAAATATATGAAAAAAAAGAAATGACACACAAATGAGATATACTATTTCTGCAACTCTAAGCATAAAATTATCTTTTAAAAATTTATAGGACATACAGGATGTATGTCCTCCCTTCCCCTCTCTAAAAATAAGTAACATCTTTATAAATAAGTAACCAAATCTTTAAAAAACAAAACAATATTTTACTTTCTAATTTGGATGCCTTTACTTCTTTTCCTTGCCTAACTGACCTGGCTAGAACTTCCAGTACTATTTTGAACAGAAGTGGTAAAATGGAGCATCTTTGCCTTGTTCCTGATCTTAGAGGAAAAACTCTGTCTTTTACCATTCAGTGTGATATTAGCTGTGTTTTGTTCATATATGAATTTTATTAGGTTGAGATAGCTGCATCATAATCCTAGTTTGTTTAGTGTCTTTTTTTATGATGAAAGGGTACTGAATTTTGCAGCACAAATATTTGTGCTGCATCAGTCAAGATGATATGGTTTTTTTTCTCCCCTACAAAGTTAATGCAGTGTATTGCACTGACCAATTTTCATATGTTGAACTATCCTTGCATTCCAGAAATGGAGTAAATCCTATTTGGTTGTGGTGTATAAGCCTTTTAACATGCTGCTGAATTTGGTTTGCTAGTATTTTGTTGAGTATTTTTGCATCAGTGTTCAGAGGGTATATTGATCTTTTAGTTTTCCTGTACTGTCTTTACCTAGCTTTGGTACCTAGGTCATGCTGGCCAGTCTCATAGAATAAGTTAGGAAGTATTCTCTCCTCTTCCACTCTTTGTAATACTTTGAGAACTCATAGTAGTTCTTCTTTAAATGTTTGGTAGAATTCACCAGTGAAGCTCATAAACTGACTTGCTTTTGCAACTAATTTTAACACAATCCTCGACACACATTCTAATATACTTTCTGAAGTAGGAAGATCTATAGGAGTATGTCCTATGTGTTAATGTAATTTCATGTTGCAGCAGCAAAGTTACTGAGAACTGTCAGCATATAGTACCACAATCATTTTAAACCATTTTGTAACTATAGAAACTAGTGTAAGGAATGCTAACTATTACTCCATGCAAAGATTTGTTTAAGTAAGTAATATACAATAAATAGAAATGTAAGTTCATAATTTATATTTCATGCCTTTCTTCCTGGCTGTGCTAATCTTGAATTAACTCAGTGGTCCCCAACCTTTTTGGCACCAAGGACCAGTTTCGTGAAAGAAAATGTTTCTATGGATCAGGGGTCAGGGGGAGGTGGGGTAGAAGACAGGAGGTGGAACTCAGGCAGCAATTCCAGCGGTGTCCATGGACAGGGGCGGGGAGGTTGGGAACCTCTTATTAAGTGACGCTCTGGGGTCAAATGAGAGGAAAAGAATGTCAGTGAATTGGATGACACCATAAAAGTGGTTTTTAAAATGATAGCATACTCACACATATATACTTACTGGGTTTCTAATTCTAACCCATGTGAAATGAGAAGAGGGAATTTTTTATTTGTTTCAAATTATAAGAGAAAGTTTATTTAGAAAGTTCGGAGGCAGTAAAGTGAGGCAGCTGGGCTCTGTAGGCTCAGGAAACAAGTTACAGAAGTAAAAGAAGGGCCCTTGGAGCTCAGGGGAGGGAAAGCAAAGGTATCACCTGGGGGATAGAAGAGGACATAGGAAAGGAGAGGACATGCTACCAGGAGGGAGCACAAGGGGCAGCATGCATGGGAAACGGGGCAGGGGGTGGTTCACAGTGATCCACGATGGCCCTGGGCACTGCTATTAAGAGCAGTATAAAATTCCAACATTAAATTTGTTTCTGTAAAACCACTACTACCATATAAAACTCTACAGTTGTGTAAACTGAGGAGGAACACTACACTTATCAGCAGAATGTTTTGCCAGTTCTATTTAATTTCTTAGATGCTTCAGTAAATCCCTATAACTGAAAACCAAGGAATAAAATACTTACTTTTTCATTTTTTTTGAGTTATACTTGACTTGGTAAGCTGCCTGGATTAACTTGTCTGGACCTCCATCAAACTGATGGGGGATGACCTTCTGAAAGTGCTAAGAAACAATAAGAGAAAAACATAAGAGCTACGTAATACCTTTGCTATTAATTATTACTAATTAATAGCAAAATCTGATGGCATTCAAGAAATCAGAACTGACTTACCTGCAACATCCCTTCCATGTCCAGTTGCATCAGTTCTGCCTGATTCATTTGAAGAAGTGCTAATCCCACTCGAAACACTATTTCTAAGCCCTGAAGAAACAAAGTAGAAAGCCAAATTTGTCTTACTCTTCCATCAACAAAAACTAATTATTCAAAAACGTAATAAGGTAAACATTTAGGGATCTAAACTAGAGCTTAGCAAACACTTTCTGTAGACTTGAACAGTAAATATTTCAGGTTTTGTGGGCCGCTAGGTCACCATCACAAATACTCAACTCTGACGTCATGGCCCAAAAGCAGAGACAACACATCAACAGATGGGTATGGCTTTGTTTCAAGAAACATTTATTTACAAAAACAAGTGGAAGGACAGATTTGGCATACATATACCAGTACATAAATCATAGTTTGCTGGCTCCACACTAAACCAATTTAGCTAGATAATACAAGATGTAATTAATAACAATTAATATTGGGTTTGATTAAGATGTAATCAATAACAATGATACTTTCAAGTGCTACCTACCACTGATCACCTATCCCTGCCTTCCTATGTTCCCATCCAAAATACAGAAGACAAAGGATCACTACTACACGCCAGTGACAATTAAATGGACTACCTAGAATGTGTTCCTAGAATAGAAGAAACTTAATTCAATTCATTACTTTTGTCTTTGGATACCAGATGCACTTGCAGCATATTAACTGTAGGGCAAATTTTCTCTCTCACTGATTCTCACTAAATCAATCAGGAGGTGATACCAAGGTTTGGGCGTAGACTCCAGATTTTGACTGCCTAGATCTGAATCCTGATTACTATACTGACTTATGTGTTTGTCCATAGCCAAGCTAGGTACTTAATATTTCTCTAAGTTTTGGCTTCATCATCTATCAATTGGGGAAATGAGCAGCACCTGACAGGGTTGTTACAGGTTTAAATGAGATCATCCATATAAACAGTTTAGCATGGGATACATGGATCTCCTTTATTGTTCTCCTCACAGCCTGGCTATAATTAACTCAATGATTCCTTGTTCAGTCTGCCCATTAGCTTACCTCAGACATAAAGATATCAAATATTCTTGTTGCAATTGGTAGTGGAAAAGTCGTAAGAAAGATAGTCAGAAACCAGGATGATGCATACATTGAGGTGTGAAAACTCTGAGACTGAAAATGTATAAAGAGCTCTGGAAGATGTTCCTAAAGAGAAGAAAAAAATTAGTCAAAACACAGTAAAATTGATTATTTTAAACCAGATCATTATATGTACATTAGATTAGCCTATACCCAACAAAAGGTAAGATCAGGCATGATATGGAAAAGTTAAGATACAGAAAATGACATGACTGGGACAGTGGTGGTTACTACCTGTGAAGGGAAGGGAAAAGAATGTGCAGTTAGGGCTTTGGCTGTATCTATAACGTCTAATTTATTAACTGTAATGGCCATTAGTAGTGGAAACACAGGGACAGCCATTAGGCATCTGCAGTTCCTGAGACTGGGTAATAAATAAACCTCCGGGAACAGTTGGGTTCAAAAAAAAAAGAAAAATTCTAGCCAAATAAGGTAACAACAGGAAAACCCACCAATAGAGACCTTTTTTCCACTCTCTTCTTAAGCCTCCTTCTCTCCACTTCTAAACTCCGGAAGGAAGCCCGCCCTGGAAAAACTTTTGCCAATAAATACCATCATACTTAAGTTTCTGGATTTGATTTCTCTGAATGCTTAACAAAAAAAATTAAAGCAAATAAGTAAAATTTTTATATTTGTATAACCTTGTTGGTGGGTAGATGTGTACTTGCTATTTTCTACAAACTATAATATTTCAAACTTTTTTAAAAAAGGAAAGAAATGTTATTTTGAAACACTTTTAGGGGCTATCTACCATGGTCACCTTATCTTCTTGCCTTTCACCCAAAATAGAGATGCTTCAGCCACTCTAGCAATTCAAAATATAAATCACACATTAACTGAAAATAAACCCCAAGAGCATTTAAGGCGGATAAAAATAAGCTTACTATTTTAAAAAAAAAAGAACTTAAGGATCATCTCAAGACCTCCTTTGTCTTTACAATTTAAGAACATTTTGCATATCCCTTCCTCCCACCATACATAGAAAAGATAGGGAATTTAAAAAATTCCTGTGGGTAAGGCTGCCAAAGAAGAGGAGTCTCATAAAAACGGCTCTCATGCCAGCGCAATTACTGACCTGTATTCTTAAATTCTGCTTATCTAATTGACATTTAAGTAAATGAGGATATTTATGCTATTATTTTATTATTGTTTAATTACTTCATTGTTGTTCAATTACAGTTGTCTGCATTTTCTCCCCACCACTCTTCCCCACGCGAGCCAATCCCACCTCCCGCCCTTGCTTTCACCCTCCCCCTTGGTTTTGTCCATGTGTCCTTTACAGTTGTTCCTAAAAACCCTTCTCCCCACTGTCCCCTCCCCCATCCCCTCTGGCTATTGTTAGATTGTTCTTAATTTCAATGTCTCTGGTTTTATTTTGTTTGCTTTTTTTCTTTTGTTGATTAGGTTCCAGTTAAAGGTGAGACCACATGGTATTTGTCTTTCACTGCCTGGCTTATTTCGCTTAGCATAATGCTCTCCAGTTCCATTCATGCTGTCGAAAGGGTAGGAAGGAGCTCCTTCTTTCTCTGTGCTGCATAGAATTCCATTGTGTAAATGTAGCATAGTTTTTTGATCCACTCATTTGCCGACGAACACTTAAGTTGCTTTGAATACTTGGCTATTGTAAATTGTGCTGCTATGAACACTGGGGTGCATAGGTTCTTTTGGATTGGTGTTTCAGGGTTCTTATGGTATAATCCCAGCAGTGGAATTGCAGGGTCAAAAGGTGGTTTCATTTTTAGTTTCCTGAGGAAATTCCATACTGTTTTCCACAGTAGCTGCACCAGTCTGCATCCCCACCAACAGTGCACTAGGGCTCCCTTTTTTCTGAACCCTCAAACTTATTTGTTTATGATGGCCATTCTCACCAGTGTGAGGTGGTATTCATTGTGGTTTTAATTTTCATATCTCTGAAGGGTAGTGATGCTGAGCATCTTTTCATATGTCTCTCGGCCCTCTGTATGTCCTCCTTGGAAAAGTGTCTGTTCAAGTCTTTTGCCCACTTTTTAATTGGGTTTTTTTATTCCTGGAGTGGAGTCGTGAGTTCTTTATATATTTTTGAGATCAAACCATTGTCCGAGGTCATGCTATTATTTTAAAGGACAATATAGTAAACTTATTTTTATATGTAAAATACAAAAATTAAATCCAGAAAAGTAAGATATTTCAAAAGTATTTTTCACTTAATTTTGATTCCTCTTCTCTTCACCCTCACGCAGTCACTAGATTGAGTCTTAAACTTGCAGCATAAAAGAATGGAAACATTATTTTTTTTAAAAGATTGCCGGCCCTGACTAGTATGGCTCAGTGGATTAAGTGCCAGCCTGTGCATTGACAGGTCACTGGTTCAATTCCCAGCAAGGGTACATGCCTGGGTTGCGGGCCAGATCCCCAGTTGGGGGGCATGAGAGAGGCAACCATACATTAATGTTTCTGTCCTTCCTTTCCCCTCTCTCTAAAAGTAAATAAACAAAATCTTAAAAAAAAAAAGATGAGCAGTAGTGCCCTGGCTGGTGTGATTCAGTTGGTTGGAGTGTCCTTCTGTAAACCAAAAGGTCGCAGGTTTCATTCCTAGTCAGGGCACAGGCCTAAGTTGTGGATTCGGCTCCCAGTCAGGGTGCTTGAAGAGCCAACCAATCGCTATTTCTCTCTCACATCAATGTTTCTCTCCCTCCTTTCCCCTCTCTCTAAAATTAAACATGTCCTCTGGTAAGAATAAAAAAAATTACCAGCTAGCAAAACTAAAACATAAGATAAAGAGGGGAAGGCAGAGGAAAGAGACAGAGGAGGCAATCTCAAAGGAAGTGAACTGACATCGTAATGTCATGGGCTCCTCCTGTAAGAGAGCATGGTCTACATAACAACATTAGGGAATAATAGGGCATAATAAGAAAACTCATGCATTTAGGCAATGGGGTTATGATACATTTAGTCTATGTGCTTAAGATTTGAATATGAAAACTGCAGTCAAGTTCCAGACTGTGATAATGCAGGTATCTGCAGACAGTGCCTAAATGGAAAGTAGGTCTAAATTGTGTGTTAACCAACAAATGATTGTGTGATCAAAACAGTAATTTTTAAAATTGCTGTAATGCTTTTAATATTAAATTTGCTTAGCTGTCACTCAAACCAGGATGCCCCAAACAAAGACAATATGCCTTTTTAAAAAAACACTACACTTTTACCTGTATCATGCATTCAAACTGGTACATACAAAGGCCCAATTCTGCCATACTTGGTTTAAAAAGTTCACGAAGCCTATAATCTTGCATTAATTTAACAAATACACAGAAAGCTTCTTCTTCTGGCATCTACATTAGGAGGAAAAAAGGAACACAGATTAATGTTCTGTGATATACAAATAACTAAAGTATATTTAAAACTAAGTACCCATCCAACTATAAACAGTTTTGAGTAGCCATGTGATACAATGTTAAGAGCAGCAGACCAGAAAACAGGTTTTAATCTCCCATTCTATCACAGCGAATAAAAAGTTAAACAAATCGAACAATCTCTGAGACTAGCTGTTTTACTTGCCTAATTCATTAATTCAACCAACAAATATTCACTTAGAGCCACAGACTTCTCTCTTCTCTGGGTACATATTGTGAACAAAATTAACACAAATCGCTACCTTCGAGGAGTTTGTACTTTCTAGTGAGGGGAGGTGGATAATACATGGAAAGAAATCAATTACTATATGTCAGGGGGCGATGAATGCTATGAACATAAAACAAAGTAGGGGAACAGGGAATGCCGAGGGAATGCTATTTATGTAGGTAGGTCAGGGAAGGTCCCTTGATAACATTTGAGCAAAATACTGAAGAAAGTAAGGGAACAACTGAGGAAACCATTCTGGGAGAATAATACAAAGGACCTGAAAGGGAATCAAGACTGGCATGCTCAGGGAACAGCAAACAGAGGACTACTAAATTAGGAGCAACATTATGAGTGGTGGTTAGGTGATGCAGGAGCAATAACAGGGAGCTACATTGTACCTCGCTCTGGAGGCCACTGTAAGGACTTGGACTTTCCCACAAGTGAGATGGGAAGGAAGCCTTTTGAACCTTCTGAGCAGAAGTCACATGGTGTAAATGTTACAAGAACTTGCAAATTAAGCCTTCAAAGAATCTAATTCGTAACAACTTCACATTTAACATGTAACTACTGGAAAATTATATTAAATAAGACAATGAATGTAAGAGCTCTGTAAAGACCTACACAGGTATTCATAATGCTTAAGCAGATATTTGTCTAAATTATTAAATCATCTTTCTCAAAAAATTTCTAATACTCATTCACTCACATTACACCAGTGTGTTTCAAAAGAGAAAGCCTCAAAGGATCTCTACACATTCTTCTAGAGAAGAACTGAAGACTGTTTCCAATAACACATTTTCCTGGCCTTGACATGACCATGACAGGAGCCAAGAGTAATAACTCTTGGCAAAACCTTCCTTCCTTCCTTTCTCCCAACACACACAGCCACAATTCTGCCTTGGAAACCATCCTTATTAATAATCCTATTAAGCCCTGCAGCCCCACTAATTTAAGTCAGTCACTGCAAGGAATCCAACATCCCCAAATCTCATCCTCTGTGATTCTACTCCTCCCCTACTCTAACCCCTCTTCCAACCTTCCCAATACCTTTTCCGGAGAAGTTTCTGGAATTCATAATCTGCCACCAACAAAAATATCTTGACTATACCCTCAATCTCTTTATCAAATGTTCTTTCATCTTCTTCCTCTAACTGAAATCTGGCTTTTCCCTAAGAATAGTTCCACACGAAACCTGGCTCTCCTCTGAGGTGTTTTCTCTCTCACAGCAGTGCAGGAAGCCAGGGAACAGAGAGGTGTATGTCCCTTCTTCAACCTCATTGCCAATTCCACAGCACTAACTCCCCATTCTCTCTGGAACACATACCAGCAGACATTACCCATTACTCTCCTTTTTTGCAGCATCTACAAACCTCTGGTCTTCCCCACACACCCACTTATTTTCATGTGGATTAAAATTCCCTGATGTAGCACATCTTTGACTTCCTTTGCTCCAATGATCTTGGCAGGCAGTTACTCGCTCAGGCTCTACAGCCACATGGCCAAAGGTTCAAATCCCACTATATGACCTTTGGCAAATTATTTAACCTCTCTGCTGCTAGGTTTCACCATCTATCAAATGGGTAAAATAATTGCACTTATTTCACAGGGATGCAATGAAGATTAATATAAAGTATTTGCAATGATCTGAACTTGCAGTCCTCTCCTTCATTTATACACCACTGTTCCCGACTTTTCACTGTGCTCACTTTGCTGTTATATGTATTCACTCACTTAAATCCACAATTACTTTGTCTTTTTCCTCCCAGTTATCATTTCAACTACATAACTCCATCTTTGGATAAATTCAACATTTAGGCAACAGAAAGTGACTGAGTAAAATAAAAACACTTAACCATGCTGATGGCCTCACTTTGAATCCAGGAATCCTCATCTCAGTGGATCTTTAATGCTCTCTGGTATATTTTATTTCCCTAATTCAATCACTCTCTTTCAAGACCATTTTGAACTTCCTTCTCTGTCCTCAAACTTCCACTAATCTCTGAGCTAATGACCTTGTTTGCTATTTCAATTTTTTAACAGAAGCACTTAAAAGACAGTGACCCCATTCTCACACCACCTCCACCATTCTACCTGCACTGCACCCATTTTTATAGCCTTTAGCAATAATAGCTTCTGGGAGCACTTCTTTTATTACAAAACAAAGTAAAAACCAGTCGTTTGTATTATAAACCAGTGTCTCTGACATCGGGTTTTTGATACTCAGAAAAGAAATACGTACATTCCTAATATGGAGTTTTGATACTCAGATAGAAGAACTGCTGACTACTTGAAGCGAAGCATCAAGAAACACAATTTCTGATTGCTACCCTGCTTTTATCTACCATGATATGTGATCTCGGGAAGTCACTCAACTTTTACCGCCTATGTACTATGTGCCAAACACCATACTGGGCTTTTACACATATTATCTCATACAGCCCTCACAATCTCAAAGTAGACAATATTACCCAGTTAAGGCCAGAGAGTGGTTAAATAATCTAGCCCAAGTTTACAGAACTCAGCGTAGAACTAAGCTGAAAAAACCAGCCTACATAATTCAAATCAAATTATTTACAAGGTCTCTTTTCTGACCATACTTCAATCTAAGGCTGAATACAGAGTATGATAGACTTAAAAAATATTTTTTAACAACTCTGAAGAGATAAATACTCTATGACATTTCCTTTCAAAGCTGACTTCTGAAAACATCCCACCCAAACCCACTCCAAAATAAGTCAGTGCCAATGGAAACATATATAATAACCCTGGGGTGAGTGAGTACCACATTTTAGAGCCTATAATAAATCCTCAGCTACATGACAAACAAAATTCCAGTATAATTTCTGAAGACATGGTACGACATCAGATTTCATACCAAAACTTTAATCATGCCTTCCTTAGCTGAAAAAAGATTACTCCTCCTTAAATATTGACATGTAAGTTAAAATTTAAAAGTAGATACAGGCTTGAGTAAATATTGTGGTCCAAATGTAAACACCAAAAAGTTGAAGTTTCATTTAGTGGCAGGATATGATTGTATGGTATTTTCAACACTTTCAGTAATCTTTTAAAGTGCAAACTAAATATTCCTAATTAAATTATGCCTAGAGAAAAATATCCACTAGCAACTTATATTTAATAAAAATAGGATTCTCTTTAAATTTTCCAATCCGCCTTTAATAAAGAACTTAATTGAATATTTAACACTTGTACTAACTTACCTGCATAAGCAACAATCCAACTATAAAAGCACTTCCTTGACAGTAACCAACCTCACGATCCACTAAAGAATATGCCTAAAAAGTAAAAAATATTTTTCAAAATGCTTTAACATGATATATTATACTATCCTTCTCTAAAAACCTAAAGATAGTGAAACAAGTAAATTAAAGACCATGTACTTTTTAGAAAAGTTCTTGCTTATTGTAGATGCTGTCCTATAAATATTTAAAAAGCAAAAGATTACATAAAACTTTCTTTTGACAATTTCCCAATTAGGAACTAACAGCTCTTAAGGACAAAAAAAAAAAAAAAAAAGAAAGAAAAATTTGTACTCAGGAAAGTAAGAGAGCTTAAAAGTCATTTAAAATGTATATCTGATAAAAATAAAACCAGGGTAGGTTAATATAAAGAAAGCACTGGCAAAATTGAAATTATTTAACAAGAAATCAATTATTTCACAGAGTTAGCTAGAAAGGAAAGAAACTATGGAAAGGGAAAGGCAATATTGAAGGAAAAATTACAGTGATACACACTTTCAAGGGCTAAGAGCTCTTAACAACACTCACCATCTGCTCCAAGATTGTGAAACTCATGGAAAATAAAATATTCAAATATTCATTTTCACAGAGGATCGTTCAATGTATAGTGATTACTAGGTTATTTGATTTTAGCCAACTAATACTAAGCAATGTAATAAACCTTCTAATAAGTTTTCTAAACTAGACAGTAATATGGCATCAGAATTAAGGCAAAAATTATGCTAAAGGCAAATTTACTGCCAAAGCAACTGATTATTGAGGCGAGAGTTCATGCTTCATTGTAGAAATTGTGTAATTTCAACCTTCTGAGAATTCATTTAAAAAGTAAATAAATAAAACTTACCTTCATTACATTAAATAAAACTTCCTGTCCAAGGCTATCTTTTTCCTTAAAAAAATTATGTTCAGGGTAAGTTCTAGCAATGTCCCTTCGGATCAACTTTTCACAAGGCGAAGTCATTTTCAGGAGTTCTGAATACTGATCCTTAATTGGCATGCTTTGTGCACTGCATAAAAGTTGCCAAACTATTGCTCTAAAATGGTGGGGTATCCCTTTACGAACAAGTTCCTAAAAATAAAAGTAAAAATTTAAAAATACATTAAGTTTCCTACCTTCAAAGACAAAGACTAATTAGGGGCTGGAGTAGAGTGGCAGACTTTATCAAAATTACAATTCACAATGTTACTTATATAAACTAGAGAACTTTTTAACCAAGGCTAAGATTTGGCCCTTGATGTATCCAGTTCTGGTGGGGGAAGAGGCAGGCAAGCCGCTACAATGTTATGGATAAATTCTTGAAATCTCACTCAAAGTATAACCTCTAAAGGCACTAAGGATTTGATAATCTGCAGAGCTGTGAATGGTAGTAGTCATCATCTTATAAGGGGTGGTATCAGGCAAAAGAAAAAAGTGAAATACTGATAATTCAAGGATGTAGGGTGTTACAACTTCATTTCTGAATTGATGATAGAATTTAATTTCTAAAATAACTTTTATCTATATGTTTCTATAATTACTTCTATAATTAGATATAGTTGTTATATCTCTGTAACAACTGATGCCTACAAATCAAAACTACTATGGACACAAATAAATGAAAACATATAAAGGACACTTCTTTATTACAGTAGCTGGAAAGTACTTGAATCTGATTTTTAATCCTCTATCGATTTATGCCTGATATCCTTTGGAATAAAAGGAAAAACATCAGCAAAGAATATAAATACCTTAACTTGCTTTTCCTTCTTTTTGCGTACATCTTCCCATTCATTAACAATTCTTCCCCAAAGTATCCAAGAATCTTCTTCAAGGTGGCTGAGGTTGCTGGAGGCTGATGAACTTGATACAAGAGAGGATCCACTGTTTCTTCTTGACCCATTTACAGATTTTAAGGACTTGCTATCCGTCTCTAACAATCTGAAACATAATTAAAAACTGGTCAAGATCTAATCTCACAGTAATACTAAGTGAAGTAATGACAACACAGAGCTTAACTACAGCAATTTTGTCAGTTTTAAAATATGCATAATTTCAATAATATTTGCTGACATCTATAAAATTACTGCTGTATTATTCATCTAACCATAGTAATTTCAAAATCTGAAATAGTAAATTATATTAAATATTTTAGTCCCATTAGTCCCATCATAATTTCCCTTCATCTCCACTGAAAATTCGAATTGGGAGAATCTGATGAGAAAAATGGCTGGGAGGACTTCAGAAGAAAAGAAACTGCACTTGGAAGAGTTACAACAAATTCTACTGAAGAACTGATCCTATTATGTTTACAATGTGTCCAGGGCTAAAAAAGTAAGAAAAAGCCGCACAAATTAACCAAATTTCTTCTCTTTTTATATTTTGCTTCACCCATGCATAATTAATCTGCCTAAAACAAAAAGTGTTTTGTTTGGCCCATGCAGTGTTTGTATAAAAAACTGATCAATACTAATTATAAAATTGGAAGTTTTCATTTATTTCTTTATACACATATACGTTTGTATTTACTTATAATTCTAGATTCTCTTAAAAAAAAGGGCAAAACTGGGCCCATATTCATGCACAGAAACAACAAGGTGTAGAGTGACCAGGAGCTTTAATCCACTCAGTCTCCCAAAAACTCACTTCCACCTAACAGCTATAGTTTATCAATGGGCTTGCAATGTTAAACTGAGACCTCTCCTGCTGGCCTTTGATTTTGCAACCCTGTTTTAGGTCTGTCTCTTCCTCATCTGTAGAAAGATGGAGTAAGATAATTTTAGATATCCATTCCATGACTCATCGTAACATCAAATCCATTATTTCTTTCACATACACACAGGCTTTAAAATAAGATCGGAAAATGTGGCTCTATCATTATAAAGATGTAAACGGTATGTCATTCAAAATAAGGGTCCTAAAACATCTATTTCTGTATTTTTTAAATATATTTTATTGATTATGCCATTACAGTTGTTCTATTCCCCCCTTCATTCCCCTCCCCCCCTGCACACCCCTCCCCCACCATTCCCCCTTTAGTTTATGACCACATGTCTCAAGTTCTTTAGATTCTGTATTTCCCATACTATTCTTGCCCTCCCCCTATCTATTTTCCACCTACCATCTATGCTACTTATTTTCTGTACCTTCTCCCCCCTTCTCCTTCTCTCTATTTGTGTATTGATCATGGCTGCTACTCACTTCCAGTAAGTCCTTCGAAAGTGATGTGCTTAGGGTACAAGAAACTTTATACTAATTTATGATATATTAAAAACTAAAACAGAAGAAAAAAGCATTTGGGTTAAACACTATTTAGCAGATAAGACAGATTTACAGGAACTAGTATAAAGGACACATGAACAACAACTAAGGGAGGTGGAAATGGGAGGGAGGGGGGAAGGCTGGGTGGGTGAGCTGGGATGGGAGTAAAAGACAGAAAACTGTACTTGAACGATAATTAAATAAATTTTAAAAAAGATAGATTTATATCTTACTCATATTTATTACCCCTAAAATCACTTAGTTCAGTATAAAGCACATAAAATATTGACCAAGTTGAAATAAAATAAAAACTTTCCATATTAAAAAAACACCCCACCAAATTCAAGATATGTCATAGTCAATAACAATACAAATTAAACAACTACTATCCTTTGACTATCCTTATACCTAAGATACTTTAACACATTTTCACAGCAATAATAATTTATTTTTTTTTTTTTTTTTTTTTTTTTTTTTTTTTTTTTGCCCTCCCCCCCACCCCCCCACCCCCTTTATTTTATTTTTTTTTTCCCCTACCCCCCCATTTATTCCCCCCCCCCCCCCCCCCCCTTGCAGTCTGAGATCTTCATTTCTATAGTTCTGCTCCTGATCTAGCTATCCTCTTAGTTTGCTTTTGTTTTAGGTGTGGTTCTTAATAACTGTGAGTTTGCTGTCCTTTCACTGTTCATCTTTTTTATCTTCTTTTCCTTAGGTAAGTCCCTTTAACATTTCATATAGTAAGGGCTTGGTGATGATGAACTCCTTGAATTTGGTCTTATCTGAGAAGCACTTTATCTGTCCTTCCATTCTAAATGAAAGTTTTGCTGGGTAGAGCAATCTTGGTTGTAGATCTTTGGTTTTCATGACTTGGAATACCTCTGTCCAGCCCCTTCTTGCCTGTAAGGTCTCTTTTGAGAAATCAGCTGACAGTCTGATGGGAACTCCTTTGTAGGTGACGGTCCCCTTTGCTCTTGCTGCTTCTAGGATTCTCTCCTTCATTTTAATCTTGGCTAATGTAATGATGATGTGCCTTGGTGTGTTCCTTCTTGGGTCCAACTTCTTTGGGACTCTCTGAGCTTCCTGGATTTCTCGGAAGTCTATTTCCTTTGCCATCTTGGGGAAATTCTCCTTTATTATTTGTTCAAATAATTTTTCAACTGGTGGTTGTGCCTTTCCCCCTTCTGGTACCCCTATAATTCGGATGTTGGAATGTTTAAAGATGTCCTGGAGGTTCCTAAGCTTCTCCTCATTTTTCTGAATTCTTATTTCTTCATTCCTTTCTGTTTGATCATTTTTTTCTTCCGTCTGGACCTCTCCCTTGATTTGAGTCCCAATTTTCTTTCCATTACTATTGGTATCTTTTGTATCAGCATTCATTTCAATTAACTTAGCTTCCATATGTTTCTCTAATTTGTGACTAAAATCCACCAGTTCTGTAAGGATCTTTATAACCAGTGTTTTGAACTGTGCATCTGAAAGACTGGCTATTTCTTCATCACTTAGGTCTATCGGTTCTGGGGCTCTGAGTTGTCCTAGAGCCATTTTTTTGGTCTATTCGCGCTGTTAAGTGAGCGGAGCGAAGCCTTAGTTGTTTACCAGGACGGGGGCGAGGTTGGCCTCCAGTGACGCCCCCTTTTGAAGTTTTTAAATATAAGTAATTTTATATATGATTCTAAACCCTAAGAATTCCAAATACAATAGAGAAATAAACATTACTAGAATAACCTGAACCTAAAGTCTTCATTTCACTTAATTATTTAATGAATGCTTGCTGTATGTCAAATAATTAAATAGCATCAATAGAGAGACATTCAGTTTAAAAGAATAGAATGATATTTCCTAAACTAAACCTAAGTTTGAAATACAATGGGCATAAAAAATGTAAAGGTACCTAAACAGAAGGCTTTTAGGGAGTCAGAAAGGTCTCAGATTACCAAAGTACAACTTTCAGGATAAACAAATGCCAAGTGAAATTCACTGGTGGGTTAGAGAAAAAAGTTAAACAATTCGCCTTCAGGAGCAATTGAAATAACATATAAATATATATAGAACTGTGAGAAATATTTACAAATGAAATATTCTAAGACATCATATTATTTAAAGATATTCCTCAGCTTTAATTTACGTGACATACAAAAATGATTCAAAATGGGTAACAGGACTACATATAAAAGTGAAAACTATAAAAGTCCTTGAAAAAAGCAAGAAAAAGTCTTCATACTTTGAGTAGACAAAATTTGTTAATGGAAGAAAAGGAAAGTAATACTAACCAAAAACCAAAAAATTGTTTAAAAAATAAATTGGACTTCAGCCCTGACTAGGTAGCTCAGCTGGTTGGAGCACCCTCCTATACACCAAAAGGTTCTAAGTTTGATTCCCAGTCAGGGCACATAGCTGGGTGGTGGGTTCAACCCCTTGTCAGGGCGTGTACAGGAGGCAAGTGATCGATATTTCTTTCTCAAATCAATGTTTCTCTTTCTTCCCCTTCCTCTCTCTCTCTAAAATCAATAAACATATCCTTGGGTGAGGATTAAAGGAAAAAAATAAATTGGACTGCAAACTTAAAATGCTCTGTCCTTCAAAAATACCATTAAGAAAACAAAAAGGTTAAGCCATAGACTGAAAATAATATATTTTATTGTATATGTCATATACATACATACATGTATGTGTATACATATATTCATATGTATGTATGTGCATATATGTATGTGTATATGTATATACATTACATATACACACACACACACCAAGACTAGTACACCCAGAATATATGAAGAACTCCTTTTTTTAATACTTATTTATTTTGACAGAGAGGGTAAGGGAGGGAGAAAGAAAGGGAGAGAAACATTGATGCATGAGAGAAACACCAAGCAGCCACCCTCTCAGAATTTATTCACCCTCTCAGAATACTGCCAGACCTCTCGTAGGTACATAAACCAGGGACCAAACCCTTAAGTCTTACAACACTTAAGGGTTGTATCTAGAATGTATAAAGAACTCTTAGAAGTCAATAATAAAAAGACAACCCAATTTAAAAATGGGTAAAGAATCAGAACAGACATTTCTCCAAAGAAGACATACAAGTAGCAATAAGCACATAAAAGATGTTCAGCCCTGGCTGGTGTAGTTCAGTGGATTGAGCACCTGCTGCAAACCAAACAGTTGCTGGTTTGATTCCCAGTCAGGGCACATGCTGGGGTTGCAGGCCAGTTCCCCATGAGTGGGTGCACAAGAGGCAACCACCCATTGATGTTTCTGTAGCTCATTTTCTCCCTCCCTTCTCCTCTAAAATAAACAAACAAACAAATAAAATTTTAAAACAATACACATTCTATAAACTCTATGTAGTTTATAGAATATGTAGTTAGAATCAGATATATTTTATTCCTTATTGCTAAAAGCTATAATGAAACAACTCAGGAAGACTCCTAATGAGACTATCACCTAGTTTCAACATAATTAAAATACTCTGACATGGTAGTAGAGGGTGCACACTGCCTGAAAAAAATCAACAGTTTCCAAAAATTTGAGTCTGACAACTGGGAAAATAGTAATGCAGCACTAACCATAGGTCTACAGGCTATTAAGCAGTCTACTCAAAACTTACTTATCTTCCTCTTCCCAGAGCACATCCATTCACTGACTTGCATGAATTTATTACAATAAATTTACCTTTC